CACCAAGAACCGGCAGCGGGTGGGCTGCTTCCGTGTCCCCATGGTCTATGCCACCTTCCTGATTGACCTGCGGAAGAAGGAGACCTTGCAATTGGCTTTCTACCCACCCCATCCCAACTACACCTGGGCCTTCGATGACATCATTGTCTTTGCCTACTCCTGCCAGGAGGCTGGTGAGGGTGATGGGGGTTTTGGGGGGTGCAGGGGCTTGGGGGGCTGTGCTGCTCACCTTTGTCACCTGGCAGGTGCGGAGGTCCATGTGTGCAACCAGCACCACTTTGGTTACATCAATGTTCCTGTGAAGGCCCACCAGATGCTGGAGGATGATCATGCCAACTTTGTGCATCTCACACTGGAGGCCATGGGTGAGTGGCCATGGGTGGAGAGGTCCTGGAGGCCTCCAGGTCCTGACAGGGCTCTCAGCCCCAGTCAGGGGAATCTGGGCCCCACTGAAGAGTGTCTCCTCTCTCCACAGTGGATGGTCCCCCCATGCAGCGCTCCAGGCACATTTCTCTCCTGCCCAGGCCACTCACAAAAATGGGCTTTGATGAAGTAAGTGCCCAGTGTAGCTGCTCGTGTCTCCCTTTCCATTCCTCTGGTTGCGTCCATCCATGGCAAAGCCCAGGCCCCTGTCCCCATCCTGCAGTAGCCAGGCAGGCTGTGTGTCCCCCATGACAATGTGCCCCATTGTTGGGGCTCTCCTCTTCCCAGATCTTCCTAATCAACCTGGTGCGGAGGCCAGACCGGCGGCAGCGAATGTTGGCATCCCTGCAGGAGCTGGAGATTGTTGCACGGGTGGTAGATGCTGTGGATGGCAGGTGACTGTGGGGGGACCACTCAGCCAGTCCCCTGGTGTCACCCTGGGGAGGGGACAGGGAGTGTCTGGCGGGACACCTCGCTGATGCAGCCCCTTGCCTTGCAGCACCCTCAATAGCAGTGACATCAAGGTGCTGGGTGTGGACCTGCTACCTGGGTACTACGATCCCTTCTCCGGCCGCACACTCACCAAGGGCGAGGTTGGCTGCTTCCTCAGCCACTACAATATCTGGAAAGAGGTATGGGGCCACAGTGGCCATGGGGTCCCTAAGGGCCACCAGCAGTGGGCAGGGACTCTGTGAGCATCACAGATGTCTGGAGGACCTGGGGAGGTGTCCTGCAGGGTCAGTGGCCCCAGTATGGCCCAGAGTTGTTCTGGGATAGGCTTGCACCCCTGTCCCCTCCCCCAGATTGTGTCCCGGAGGTTGGAGCGATCCGTGGTCTTCGAGGACGATGTGCGCTTCGAGGCTGCCTTCCCAGCACGGCTGCAGCGGCTGATGGAGGAGCTGGAGTGGGCACAGCAGGACTGGGACCTCATGTAGGTACTGGGGCCAGGGGGATGTGGAATGGGGGTCCCCAAGGCTGGTTCTCATGGTTCCCTGTCTACCCCACAGCTACCTGGGGAGGAAACAGGTGAACGATGAGGATGAGGCACCTGTGAAAGGCGTGCGGAATCTGGTGGTGGCTGGGTACTCGTACTGGACTCTGGCCTACGCCATCTCCCACCATGGGGCACAGAAGCTGTTGGCCACCAAACCCCTCTCCAAAATGCTGCCGGTGGACGAGTATCTGCCCATCATGTATGACAAGCACCCCAAGTAAGGAGCAGGTTGTGCAGGAGGGTGCTGGCCTGGCCATGCCAGTGTGGGACCGTGTGTTTCTTCTCTGCAGTCACCACCTCACCCAGTTCCCCCCCTTGCAGGCATTACTCATGCTGGAGGAAAACATCTGTAGCATGAGCTCATTCTCAGTCGGCTGCTGCCTGGCCACTGGCTGCTGGAAAATGGCCCTCTGCCAGCATGGGGTGGGGGAACAGGAATGGAGCTGGGGCTTGATGTAGGCCCTGCACAGGGTCTTGGCCCCATGGCAAGGGGTAGGGAGCAACCCCCTGTACCTTGGTGCTGGGGGGCTGTGTGGTCCCCCACCCCTGGTAAGGGGTCTCAGCCCCATATTGGAGCACTTTCATGCCCCTCTCTGGGGTGGGGGTCAGCAGTAAGGCTTTGTCTGGGGATGGGGAGGCAATTTAGGGGGTGAGTGAGCACCAGTGGGTGGGTGTCCTGAAAGAGAAGGGATTGGGAAACCCAGTGAACAGGATGGAGAAACATAGGAATCAGGCATGCAAAAGGTAGGCTGGAGGTGGACAGAGGGACAGATTAGGGCTCTGGATGTGCACCAGGAGCAGCTGGAAGCCCCCTGCTTGCAGGCATAACAGCACCAGACAGCCCTGTCTCAGGGCGAGCTGGATGCTGTGCCAGAGACCCACTCTGTGCCTAGAGCCAGCCCTAGCTGGTGGGGAGCGACAGGTCCTGTCCTCTCTGTAATCCCTCCACAGTCCCTGCTCAGCCTTCCCCAGCTCCATGCCTGATACCCCACATCCCTATCCCCTATCCCTGTATGGAGCCTTCCCCGGGTGGTTGATCTGGTTTTCCCAGTGCTTTTTCTCCTCTGTGCCATGCTCTGTAAGCCAGTTTCTCCTCTTGGGTCTGCTCCACTTTCCCCAGCGAGGATTACAAGCGGCACTTTTCCCCACGGGACTTGCTGGTATTTTCGGCTCACCCCCTCCTGGTTTATCCCACGCACTATGCTGGGGACAGCAACTGGCTGAGTGACACTGAGACTTCCACTATCTGGGATGATGATGCCAAGAAGACTGACTGGGTTGGCTCGCAGAAGACTCTGAGAGACTCACGGGGCAGTGCTGGCCACCTCCGCTCCACGGCCCATGACGAGCTCTGATGGTGAGAGCTGGACACAGGGGACAGAGCAGCTTGGGAGTGCCTCCCTGCAAGTGCCATGTTCAGATGTGTTCCACATGCCTAGCTTGTTTTTGTCATGGGACAGCAGCTCTCCCCATCAGACTCAAAGCAATGGGAAACAGAGACCAGATGTCTCTTCCAGGTGGGGAAAGGGGTGGGGACACAGATGTCCTGTGTGGGGCTGCACTGGACTGGAGGGGACATGGGGACAGGGCCCTCCATCTCCCTGAGTCCATGCTGCTTCCCAGCCCCTCAGGTGAGGAAGGGAGAATGCTCCCTTGCCTGCTGCAAAGGTCTCCTCAGTATGGAAAGAGCTGGGGCATATCCCAGGGGAATGTTTCATCCCAGCACTACTTGCTCCCTTCAAAATTTGGTCTCCTTGGGACTGTGCATCTGCCAGGCAGGCAGGCAGGCAACTCACGCTGGCTCAGTGCCACAGCAGCATAGACACAGTTAATGCTGGGTCAGACTTTCCCTGCCTGAGGTTGCTTGTCCTGGCAGCAGAACTGCCCTGGGAGCTGCCAGACTGGGGGAGGCTGGAAAACAGCCCTCCCACTGCCTCGGCTGCAGGCGTGAACACGTTGGGGCTGCTCGTGGCCACTAATGTCTTTGTCCACATCTCCTAGGGATGAGGGATTGTGATCCAGCTGGGAGCACCGTGGGCAAGGACCTTATACTTTGCACTCCCACTCAAAGATGCAGCTGCCCTGGACTGAGTCCCACAGGATTCTTTGAATCTGCATGTGACAAATCAACCCAAGGCAGGATTTGCCCCAGGAAAGCCTTTCCCTGCCAAGTGGAGAGACCAGAGGAGCACTGTGCTCCATCTCTGCTGAGGACACATCTCCAGGACAGTCTCAAACAATGCCAACTCTGCTGTCTCCCACCAGCCTGGACTTCGGGGAGTGGACTTTGGGCTGACCGTGGTACCCTCCTGCCACTGACCAGGCTTGTCCCTCATGCCATGCCTGGGTGGAAGCCCAGGGAGGATTAAAGCAGACTGTTTGAGCTGATGTGCTGGGTGCTGGCATTGGCCCAAGTTCCCAGGGCATTACCCCACGGGGGTCACCTTGGTGTTGCAGGGGTGAGGGTCTGGCAGCTTCCCCAGCTGGGAACTTTGGGGATGAAATCTGTAAGGGGGAAAGAGAGGGAAGGAGAGAGGTGGGGTGGGGAGGAAGACTGAAGCTCACTCTTGGGGTCTGGGTGGGAAAGATGGGTGGCATCTCCACAGGGCTCAGCGCTCCCCTGGGAATGGAGGTGATGGAGCAGCAGGTGGTGGCCTTGGTAGCAGATACCCACAGTGAGATGTCTGAAACTACCAAGTGATTCAGGAAAGCATCATTTGGGGCGGGTTGAACAGCTACAGCAGGGACCTTCTGACAGTCCAGATCACACAGGACCTGAAGCTCTGAGGAGATCTGCTGGATGTACTGGAGAACAGGGAGGAGGAAATGGCCAAGTGCCTGTTCTGCAAGTGCAGAGTCCCAGACAGTATAATATGTGAGGAAGGGATGGTAGGCTGGGGACACTTTTGCTTCCCAGCTTTTCCCCTGGTCCCAGGCAGCCTCAGTGCTCCAGGAGGAGCTTGGGAACTGGGGATGGAGCAGAAGGTCTGGTGCCAGCTGGAGCAGAGGATGAAAGCAGCAGCAGCAACACTGTGGTATGTCAGCCAGCATGTGTCCCAGTGCTTGTTCTAGTGCCTTCTGGGATGCAAGAGAGGAGCTGCCTTTGCTGGGTGTCTCATTTGTGGGATACAGAGCTGGGCACGACATGCTGGCACAGCCCAGGACTCTGGGACACAGCAGTGGTGAGGACACACTGCCTCAGTCTGCCCTCTCCACCATGAGACCTGCAACGGGTCTGCGGGAAGCCAGAACTCCTGCAGCTGTTGGAAACTCCACAGTACTGGCCAAAACCACTGAACTCAAAAACTGTGAGGCCAGCCCTGAAACTTGCTGCAGCTCAGTGGGAGCAGCACGCTATGAGATTCCAGGCTCTTTGTGCTTGCCAGTTTCTCAACAAAGCTGAAGTGCCTTTGGACTCTACAGAAGTAGCTCCTATTGCTCCCCATTTCTCACTAGAAGCCTCCCTCCAGACTGTGCTGGTTGAACAGCGATGGGAACATGGATTTGAGCTGCAGTGCCGAGGACAACCCAAGCAGGTGATGCATGGAAGAGAGGCAGGAGCAGGTCAGAGTCAGGATGAGGTTTTATTTAATTTCTGTGCCAAACTGAGGTATGGAGCCTCTGCAGGGATGCAAGTGGGACATGAACTGCCTGGACTGGTGTAGGGAAGGAGGTTGCCCCAGCGCCCAGCCAGGCTGCCCATCTGGGCGAGCTCTGCTCTGCACCACGGTCACTCCAGAGCGCCTGCAGCACCCTCATCCATCAGCCACAAGGGTCCCCGGGGGTTTGTGTCAGCCCCTGTCCCCTGGCTCTGTAGGCACTCGGCTCTGGATGTGCTCCAGCAGGCAGGTCACTGCCTGGACCAGGATCTGCTCCAGCTTCTCCCGCTCCCCAGCAGTGAATGGAGACAGGACATAGCTGGACACTGTCACATCACCCTCTGGCCGCCCGATGCCGATCCTGAGCCGGGTCATCTCCTGGGGAGGAAGGAAAAGAGCTGGGGGAGCTTCCCCTCAAGCATTCAGACAGAGCTAGGCAAGGTCACAGTGCTGAGAGTGGGGCAGGGCAGCAAGAGAGCAGCTCCTCATGTTTTCCAGGTGGTTTTGAGTGCTTGCTCCAAGAAACATAATTTTGGAAGAGGCTTTTGCTGGGCTGTGCCGAGATCCCAGGCTCCTGCCAGGCCTGGCAGGAGCCACTCAAGTTAATTGTTTCCATGTCCTCCATGGCGGCCAAACAGACAACAGCCCTCCAGGAAGAAGGGGAGAAAGAAAAGGAGGGGAAAGGGAGCAGGGGTTTGTCTGAGGGGAATCAGAAAAATGGGAGTGGAGGAAACAAGCCATGCATTAAGGGGGGCACAGGATTGATCCCCTTCCACTGTGTCCCACTCACACTAGAGTGCAAAGCACTGATGCAGGATTGGACTCCGTTGTGTCCCCTTGGGAAAGAAAGGAAAGCCACAGTTAGTCTGTAAGAGACACCCCCTCCCCTGTATAGCCCTGGGGTCTCCTGCTGCAGGAATGTGGGAATGTGGTCCCAGCCAAGGACTGCAGTAGTCCCCATGTCCTAGTTCTGCAGGAACATCCAGCCCCAGGGGCTGAGAGCTGTTGGCTGGGGGTCTGAGGGAAGCAGGGGTGGGACAGCACATTCTGTGTCTGTCAGCTCTTGCCGCAGCTGGTACATGTGTGACTGAGCACTGGGGCCCAGCATCGTACCTGCCCCATCCTGCAGTGGAAGTATTCCTAGGTTAAATATCTGCAGCGTGCCCCAGGAGCTGGCACTAGGCAGGCACAGTTGAGGCAGAGTGCTATAAAAAGCCCATGTGGTGCTGTCAATGGGCTGAATCCAGCCCATAGCCGCTTCCAGGAGGCTCCCTGCCCTCCCTGCCAGGGCAGGAAATGGGAGGCTGCCCAAACAGCGAGCTGTTGCCTCTACAATGGATCAAGCCCAGGACAAGAGCTGAAACATTGCAAGGCTGGTGGGATGGGGCCAAGAACAGCCCATGAGCCTGTATGGGCATGTTAAAGCCTCAAACCAGCTCACACAATCAGAGAGCTGGGGCTACCCCATACCTTGCGCTGCCTCCTAGCTTGATTGCCACCTTGCCCAGGGCCTTGTCCAGGTCGTCGTGAACCAAGTAAATATCTTCAGGGCCAAGACTGTAGATCTCAGCTTTGAAAACAGAAATACAGCCCAAGAAATGAGGGGGAGACAGACTCACCAGGCCCTGACTCTGCAGAGTGGGGTTGCAGGGAGCTGTGGAGGGCAGGGAAACAGCAGGGCTGTCATAAGGGGCTGGTGGCAACAGAAGCTTTGGGGCTGACCCAACTGCTCACCAGCACTGGCGACGCTGAGCCCATTGAGGTTCATGAATCTCCGTGGCTTGAGCAGCACCAGCTCCAGGCCGTGGGCTGTGGCCAGGGCCACATCAGCACAGCACCGCTTGTCCACTCGCCAGCCCTCAGCCACCGCCAGCTGCCGGGCCAGCCGGTCCAGCACCTCCATGCCCACACTGTGCCGTGTGCCCCACAGCCCATAGTTGCCCAGGCCAGCCACCTGTGTGACGGGTGTCAACAGGGTTCTGTCAGGCCACCATGAGGTCTTTGCACGGGCCTGATCCGCTCCCCCAGCATGTCTCAGACCTGCTCCCTCCGTGCTCCCCACAGCTGGCTGGGTCCTCACAGCCTCAATCCCCACAGCATTCCGCTCAGTCCCTCTTCTCTCTGTGCCTCCCTCACAGCTCTGATCGCGCCGGTGCTCGCCCATGATCTGATCTTCCCCGGCACTGCCCTAACAGCCCCGCTCCCTCTTTTCGCCTCCCAGTCCTGAGTCACCCTGTTCTCCTCACAGTCCCGTTGCCTCGATTTCCCCGTTCCCCTCACAGTCCGGCTCCCAGCGCTCCCCTCACAGCCTCGCTGCCCCCGCTCCCGCCCCCGCCCTCACCATGGCGCGCGGCCCCGCCCGCCCCACGAGCGCTCGCGCGCGCCCCGCCACCTCCGCCGCCAGCATCGCCCTCCTTGCCCTCGTGACGTCACCCCCGCGCGCCGCTCTACGTCCCGCCCGCATCGCCTCGCCCCCGCCGCCATCTTGGTTACGGGCAGAGCCGCCATCTTTCTAGCGGGCGGCGGGGCGGTGTCGGAGGCAGTGTCGGGGCGGTGGTGTCGGGGCGGTGTCGGAGGCAGTGTCGGAGGCGGTGTCGGAGGCAGTGGCGGGGCGGTGTCGGAGGCAGTGGCGGGGCGGTGTCGGAGGCAGTGGCGGGGCGGTGTCGGAGGCAGTGTCGCGGTGTCGGGGGCGGTGTCGCCGCTGTGATAATGCCCAGCGGGCCGGCTGGTCCTAGACGTGGTCATGGTGGGGACGGCGAAGCGCGTTAACGGGCAGTTACTGGAGGCCGCAGCCTGGGAACCCCCTCGAGCAGAGAGAGGCTCTGCAGAGGATCCCCGAGGGACTTGCAGGAGCAGTGAATACCCAGGACTGGGTCTCGTGTTTTGTGTGTTTGTGCCTGTTCCATCTCCACTCACATGCTGACTGTCTTGGGATACGGCTGGATGGGGAAACACATCGCTCCTCACCTTCCCCAAACCATCCTTCAGCCCTGGGTGGGTCCTCACCCTGCCAGCAGAGCTTTCTTCCAGGACACTGTGACAGTTCCCCAGCCCAGCAGCACATCACTGTGAAATTGCTCATCTTCCAGGTCCTTCCACACTACCTGCGGTCAGGAATCCATGTAAAGACCTCAACTGTTTAATTCTTTAAAGATTTATTTTAAAATTAGAAATGCATCATATTTTTGGAAGAGGCAGAATTTTTACATTTGTCTTTGGGCCAGCTCCTGTGCAGCCTTTGGGTGGTGCCTAAAATCCCCAAAGCTCAGGGCCTGGAGCTGGAATGGTCCCAAGCACTGGCAGCTCATTTCCATACAAGCAGAGCTTTGGAAGCTTTGCAGAGTTTCCCTACACCCATCCCTTAAGCAGGTTGTTCCTGGCTAGTGAATTACTCTGGTTCCTCTGACCTCTTATTCCATAACAGCACAGAGGCTATTAAAATCTGGGCAAAAGTCAGGCTGTGCGTCCCATGCTTGGCAGCCTGGAGCATTAATCTTCTCTGACTTGTCCCCAGGTCCCCCATTGTGACGTCCTCAGAAGCTGAACGGGTGCTGGCCCAGCCAAAGCCTGCAAGGTTTGACCAGCAGACAGATGTAAGAGGAGCTCCACAGCTCATAGCACCAACTCTGCTGTAGAAACCATCACTGAATGAAAGGAATTTTCAAAACCGTTAGCACTGTGGGATCCCCTGGAGGTAGGATGAGATTCTTCATGGCTGCTAAAACAAGTAAGAAGTCTTTTGTTGTTGTTTTCCTGGTTTGCTACAGGGAAATCCTTTGGCCTTTAGGGGAGATGGATGAAGGGGTTGTAGGGGAGCCTGGCTCATGGCAGACCAGGTGCTGCCCTCTCTCACATTATCCCCCTCATTTGGAGTTGAAGCTGGTCCCTACCAGCACCTATTCACAGTGAAAGAAAAATGTGGGTGGCTCTAAAACTTCCTTGAAAACTTTGTTGCGGTGTTGAGGTGTTCACAGGAGTCAGCACCAGTACTCACGTTGTGCTAAGGAGCTGAGGCACAGCTAAGCTTAAAAAGGTTTTAAAAAAACTGTTAAAATGCTGTAAAGAAGAAGTATTATTCTGTAGGCTCAGAATCTTAACGTATTGGGTATCAACAGCTGCCAGAAGTGGGGAGAGCTGCAGGAAGGTGCTGTTGACAGGGTGAGAACCTCCCTGACACTGTAGACCCTCACAGCATCTTCCCCATGTCATCACAGATGTCTCAGGTGGTGGATCCACCCTTACCTGGCCAAGAGTGAATTAGTAAAGTGCTTTAAATCACATAATTTGCACCTGGTCCTGCAGCTGCATCCTGCAGTTGACTCCTTGGGGCTGCAGAGAGTTCAACAGGAGAGCATTTGTGCTGTGGAGAGTGACACACCATTCCCACTGCTCATCCCACCAGCCCTGAGTGCTTTCTAGCTCCATATGGATCTGAGAGAGGCCCTTGCCAGTGACTAGAAGAAAAAACTGATGCGAGAGGCCACTGTTTTGCAGCCTGTTGATGAGAATAATTTCTCTTCTTCTGGGAAGTAGGGGATGCTGTCAGCCACTTCCTGGACGACATCTGGGCGTACCTCGAGGCCTTGCTGGACAAGCTCACTGACGACACACTGCTTTACGTGGTGGTGCTTCAGTGGGAGGAAAGGCACAACAAAATCAATGAGATGTTCATTAATGATCCCAGATTTCCAGAAGCCACCTGCACAAGGAAAAGAAGGTTTTAAATTCAGAGTCTCTGCAGTCCCTGCAATTCAAAGAGCTGTGTGTGAAGCCAAAATACTCTGCTGAAGAGAGATCTTGCTGGTTTTGTTGAACCCATCAGTTGTCACCTCCCCCCCAACCAGACTTGTTCTCCAGAAATGGGGTGATTTAGCTTGTCTAGTCAGAATTTAAGCTCTGCTCCCTGTGCTAAGGTCAGAGCACAGAGATCCAGGCAGGCAGTGGGGATTGATACAGCTCAGTGCTGTTCTGGCAAATGTGCTGTGCTGTCTGCCAGCCCCCAGCTGCAAATACACCTTGTCTCCAAAGAACTTTGCTAACTATGGCAACAGGTCTGCTGGCTCAGAAGATGGTTCCCTTTGCCAGGAAACCTCAAGGGGATCACAGTTCCTCAAAACCCCCTTGTCCCTTTCTGGCTGCCTGGCAGGTGGCAAGTGGTGTGGGTGGCTTCCTAGAACAGGCCTGGCTGCCTGTGCTGGGCTGTGGGGCCACAGGAGGAGCTCAGCTCCATGGACTCACTCTGAGGGTTTTCAAACACGGCCTTGGAGATGGCTGGCTCCAGGTCCTGCAGGCTGATCTCCTCCCGGTCCTTGCGGGCACGCCACAGAGCCAATGTCACGTTGTTGATCTGCTCTCCTCCTGCATTGCTGCACAAGAATGAGAGGCTTATCCAGTGTGTAGCCAGGAGAATGGTGTCTCAGGTGGCACCTGACACCCACCAGCCTGCAGAGTGCAAGCCAGAAGCTCCCAGTTGCCTGGCCCAAAATAACTCCTGTAGAGGCAGCCAAATAACATGCAGAGGAGGCTTTTTCACACTCTCCAGATCCGTCTGTTCACAGTGAGATAGCATCTCTTGGCATTTGTAGAGGCTCAAGTCTTGGAGAAGGAAAGGCAAAAGAAGTGTGTGCCCTGAAGTAGGTGCGACCTCTGCCCAAATGAGCAGCAGCGAGCTGGAAGGCCCCATGGAGAGGCCTCTCTCACCTGATGAAGATGAAGATGGCTTTGCGGTAGTTGGTCCCGTACACAACCCATGAGGGTCCCAGGAACGGGATGATCACATCAATCAGGCCTGGGTGCATCTTGTCCATCTCATCGAAGAGAAACGCTGACCGTCCACAGTTTGTCAAGTTCCCTTGGATCCAGTGCTTCAGGCTTTCCTAGGAAAAACACCCACCAAGTTGTAAGGCAGCGAGATGGTGAGGAAGGCTCAAGTACTCCAGAGTGAAGGCTGAGGCAGGAGCTCAAGCAGAGCCAAAGGTGCTGAGAGCAGCATGTCCCCGCACAGCACTACACACTTGGAGCTCAAAAACCCAGTGCTGGGGAGGCCCCTTTATTATGGGTTTCACACAGTGGCTGTTTACCAGCTTTTTTAGCCCATGGTAGGTCTTTTATTACAGACTTAAAGGAGGAAACAGCACACCGGAGATTCAGACTCCTACAGCTCCCCACGTTCTTCTCATTCCCTGTTGTATCTACACAGTTCTCAGCTTCTTGCCAGCTCCTGTTCTGACGCAGAAACATGTGCCTGCACTGACCCAGAACAGCTCTTTATCATGGCTGAAGGTACTTCCCAGCCCACACAAAACCACTCACATTGCCTGGGGGCACGTGTAACTCCTAACTGAAGCATTTCAGCCAGGAGGGGATTTACTTTTCCAAAAGCATTTCCTCTAAGGACACAATACAACAAATAACTTCTCCAAACACCCAGAAACTAAAGGTCCAGGTGTGCTGAATCCCCATTCTACTGAGAATCTGGCATTTTGATTTCTCTCTTTTCTCAGCTCTAACAGACAGAATGGCACCATGGAGAGTCTGGAGCTGCTGTTAGGGAGCTGTATGCTCTCTGAGCAGGGGATTACAAGTCTAGTGATATGCAGGTTTTTATAGCCATCAGGCTATTTGGAAAGCAATGGGGAAATTTTAGTGCCTTTCATCTAAGCCAAGCACTTTTGTTTGTGCCTTCAAAGAGCTGTGTAAATATTTAAGAATGAGAATATGATCCGGGCAAGGACTGCTGTGGACAGGACGAAAGTAATAACTGAGTATATTGCATTTACTAGTGGATCCTTCAGCCAGTGTATGGAGCTACTCACTCAGCTATGTTTGTCTGAGAGGGTAAAACAAAGAGCTTTTATTCCTACTTCACTTCGGGAAACAGCTTGAACGCATATGTACTGAGGATCAAGACAGAGACAGACAAAACCCCCCAGTTAAGTGGCACTGCTGGGCGGCGTCCCTTACCTTGTACTGCTCTATCTGCTCAGCGTGGGGGAAATGCACTATGGGGGAGAAGTGGTGAACATAGGGGCTCTGGAGCCCCCTCTGGAAGAGGTAGCGGATGAGCATGGAGCTCACGTAGGTTTTGCCTGTTCCTGTCGAGCCGTGGAAGGACATCACGAGGGGTTTCACTGGATTCGGGTTCTCCAGGAACTCCCTCACGCCCTTCATCACCTGCTGCCTCACCAGGGGTTGCCCCACCAGATTCGTGGCCAAGTCAAACTCCAGACCTGAAAGGAGGTGAAACCAGGACTTGGAGAAGGCGGGTTGTCATGGCTCATCCCGTCCCTGGGAACCACCCCGCGGGGCCCTCTCATCCCCGGTTGCCGCACGTCCGAGAGACCCCGCTCCAAGGACGCCGCCGGAAAGGCTCTCCTGGAGACGCGCTGGCTCCCGGAATCCCCTCCTGCTGCCTCCCGGCCTCGTCGGCTGCGCGCCCCCCGCCCCCGAGGGTCCCCCTGCCCC